CACACAGATTATTAGACTTGACAAAGCAAAGACAGTCTCTCAAAGGCTGCACTACTAGGTCAAAGCCACAAAAAGTAGTGTTACATTCAAACATTAAAAGTGCTCCCTCCTCCAAACACCTTCCTTACCCGGATAGTAGGGTCATCGCTCAGCAGTGGATTATTCCTGTGCGTTACTTTGCGTTTTGCCCCCTCGGGCGCCACCTCAGGGCATGGTGACCCACCTCCCGTGGCCATGATAGAAAGATTTTTCTGGCTGAGTCAGGGAGTAACGTCTACTCGAAAATTAAAACCACACAAAAAAAAATTGTAATCCACGAATTCACGTAGTCTGGGCCACTCCAAGGATTTGTCATCGGAAATTAATCCAATTCTCACAACAGGAACGCCTGAATTTGTATCCCCTCTTTCTTCAAAGAACTGCACGGTTGGTTTCAAAGAGGGCTATACAATACATGATCCAGACTTGCTTGATGTCGATGCACGCGTTTACAAGGAGTGGTTTTAATAAAAACAAGCTGCACAGTAGAAGCGTATGCCCGGCGTGTTGCTACACAATAGAAAATCCCGTGATTGTTTTGCCAGCATTTATTTTCACATCGCGTGTCAAAAACTTCACACAAGGCCCTGTGGTTTACGACTGAATTTGTTCTGTTATTCCAAACCGTATAATTACAGAGACATGAAGTGAAGTGCTGTAAAATGATCACGTAGATTTAACATTTAACAAAAATATATACATTACTCCTTCGTATTTTTTTGCTTCGTTCACAAAATTACACGGACCTAAATCTAGAAATCTAATCAAATTAGCTGGCATTTAATAAGCAAAAAACAAAAAAAAAACACAACAAACAAACTTCTTAGAGTTTGATCTGTCTGTTGACAGTCCTTAACTTATTATAGGACCTAGAACCTACATCATGCACCTATTATAGCTGAAGAGACGAGGGGCTCGGGTGCGAATGAGCATCACAAAAGTATAAAATCATCGACAAGACTTAGATCTCTATCCTTTATCAAAGTGAAAAAGTTGAATACAGAGAATTAAAATTCTAAATTCTATGCTTCCATTATATCCAAGAAGAGGAATCGTAAGCGAGACCTCCCCACCCCCACCCACCCACACACACAGTAGGCCTAGTATAAACAATTTTTAAAATCCAATTGTTATTCTTCACCGGTCCCCTAAACCTAAACGTTTAAAGCAGCGATGATCCGTCACTCACAGGATTAGATGGAGAGAATAGAATGATGTCTATTTTCTATGACAAACTAAAAGAACACCCATACACCGAAAACGTGTCCCCGTGTCAAACACAGACTTAGTTACAAATAACCGATCCAAACATGACTAAACTCGAGTCTAGTACGACAGTAGTAAGGGATCCCTTGTCTAAACATCCTGAAGGCAAGGAAAAGAGAACGCCGAACGCCGACCCCGAGTGCATCAACAAATCCGTAACGCTGAGAGCCAAACAAACTTGTGAAACTTCTTTCCTTCCGATCCCTTGTCACTCGATGAACGATACTCCACTAGAAGAAAGAACGTACCGCCGACCACAATGATAACAGATCGAAACTCACAAAAAAGAATCCTCAAAGATGGATTATTGATGTGATTATTCTCACCAAAAAACAGACGAATTCAAATCAAAACAAGGTCGAGCATGGATGAATGGACGCGACTGGTCAAGTTCAAACCGCTGTGCGTGTCCCACAAAGCAGTTGAAATTTCCCCCCATGCGATCCAGGAGCGCGCCCCCATTCACTGCGAGGCAGTGCCGCGCGCTTTGCCTTTTCCCAGGTGTCGGGCTATTTTTGGCATAAGCCCCGCCCCGTTCCCCCCGTGTTGCGAGTGATTGACACAAGAAGATTTTACTGCATACTATTGCGAGGGTGAAAGGTAAAAAGCAGGGGCTGCTACGATATTCAAGCGATGTGTCGTAAAGACTTGTTGGCGTCTCTCAGAAAATGGTACAAATTATGTTATGTCTTTGACTGTAATGACCAGAAATATGGATTAGGGTGTTGATAATGACCACGAGGTATCCAGTTTCCAGTTTTAAAAAAAGTATAGATTTAGTTGAAGCCTCTCTTCCTAGACAAAAGGTCAAAATCTTCTTTCGCACATATCACCAAGGCTACCTCCATATTGTTCACACCGGTCCCTTCGCCCGTAAAAACAGCGATTATCTGTCTCTTACGGGGTGAGATGGAGGGAATCAAAGACAAACTAAAAGAAAAAACATACACCTTTCTCTCTTTCTCTCTCTCTCTCTCTCTCTCTCTCTCTCTCTCTCTCTCTCTC